CGTTTTAGCTAGTGAACATTAGACCGCAGTAGTACAGATACATAAACAAAACGTATAATTTTATGAACATTATTTATTTTCTAAATACTTTTTAGAATGATTCGGTACAAAACTTATTTACTTGGTTTTCAATTTAAAAGATTAAAACAATTCGCATTTTAAATAATACGCAAATTTATAAGTCGTTGTATGACTTTCTTTTTCAGTAAGGTTGACTGTTAACATAATAAAACTGTGCAAGTGCTAATTTTACACGAAAGCATAATTAAGCGAATTGCTGAAGCAAATGCGTATTTTCAGTTTTTAATTAATTACGTAGCTATACATTTTTTACCTTTCTTCTGTTTCAGGCAATAGGAGCAGTAGAAAAAACATGTGAGTTTGCCAAAGGGACTAAGGTTCACTCCTGTGAGATTTTCGTCACAAGAAGCCAACAAACAGAGCCAATAACTGCATTAAACAGTTCCAGGAAACTGAGTCAGTTTCTGACAAATTACAATTTAGCAGGCTTCCAATCAGTGAGCAAACTGTGACCATTTGTCAAGAGCGTCTTAAAATTTTTATCAAATCTTTAAAGCAAAACTGAATGAATATGCTTACAAGATTGAAGTAGTTAATACGGAGTCAGATGAATGCCAACGCATGAAAATATAACCACGGTCGCCAAAACTTTCTTATATTGTTGACACTTTTGACGAAGTATCTACATTCCACAAATCGCAGAGCCAATAATTACAAGTGCCACATTTCTAGGAACCAAGATAACTTAAAATATATGACGACATTGATTCTACACCAGAGGCTTTGCTTAATCGATCTTTTTAAAGCAATAGATTAAACTTAAAATGCTGCAGATTCGTTGTATTTAGCTAAAATGAATCAATACTTTTAATAGAACTTTCCGGCAAGACAACAATTCCAGCCACGATGCTTAGAACCTGTAGCAGCTGTTGAATGAAATCTATTGAGACACATGGCTTGAGATAGGTAAAATGTTCAGTGAATTCCTTCACGTGATCCTTTTCATACCATTTGTACGCACTTAAAAAATCATTTAAAACTATAATGAATCTGAGGTCACAAGAATATAGTGCAATTCATTCAAGCTCTCAATTATACCTAGAAATTTTCAGCCAGTTTGAATAACGCTCTGAATGTATCACCAAAAATTGCATAGCGGCAAAAGTCCAGATACAGACTGTTTGAATCGTACCGCATAAAAAGTTCAATGAATTATGCTTTCACATGCCCACATTTTTTATGATGCGCACACCCAACGCTAATAAAGGCGCAAAACTCATAAGGTGTAATTTTACGGTGCTTGTGTGTAACTCACAAAAAATAGCATGTAAAAAATGAAATGAAACGATCATTTACTTTTCGCCTGCTTCCGCCCTTTCTTCGGCTCGTTCCAAATCAGCTTCAACCATTGCCAGCTTTCTAGCCACCTAACCGTATTAAAAGCGATGAAAAATATTTAATGAAATGTGTTAAATCGCATGCAAGAAATCCAAGCAGATGATAGACAAAAGGAGAATGGAATAGAAAACACTGCAGTTTTACGTAAGCCAGAAGTAAAGCCGATGTCAGTAGCAAGGAACATCGCTGGGAGTGAAGGTATAAATCACACTCTGCATACTTTATGTTAAAATGCAAGCCATCGTCTCAATCCTATTGATGCAAATAAAATAAATTACAAATTTGCAAACCATATATTTTAAATAAAAATTCGTAACCAATAACATCACAGGTTAAAAACTAACGTTGCAAGGATTCAGTTGGAAAATGCAATCAGCGATCCAATAATCAATCAATCGATGGTAGTTTTTGTAACAGCCCGTGATTTCGGATCATTGCATCGAAATCGGCTACATTCATATGTTAATAAAAAGCAAGCACTAAAAACTGCGCAAAGCCAAAGTTACACTAATAATATCGTTAAAATCCTCCTAGTCTTTAGCCTAAATACCTCATCGTATTTTCTATCTGCCTCCTCGGCTAAAAGCTGTGCTTCCTTCAGTTGAGCTTCTAGTTGATAAACTCGTTCCTCATCTTGAAGTGACCGGTTTTCCATAACCTTGCGTGATCTACAGAGAGAACAAGCACGTTTAAAAGACTTTCAAAAGCAAACATATCCAGTAGGAATGGATGGGGAGGAAATCTTAC